TGGCAAATAGATAAGCAGGTAAGCCACAATTTCTATATACTCAAGGAGGATTTTGAGTTTGGTATTGATAAAGTTGGTAGATGGTTTAGTCATTGGGGTTGTCTGTATTTAGATTAGTGGTTTCGAATACATAAACCTCTTTAGAGGTCAGATACTTCTGTTTATAAAGTTCCAATTTGTCTAGATCAATGATAGTGGATTGAACAGAAAGAGGTTAGTTATTCTTATAATTGGTAGAAGTATAATACTTGTGATTCTTTTACTTAAAAAAGTAGCAACTATTTTTCTAGTTATATCTAGCTTCAACTTTATTAGACTAGTCATTTCCAAGAAATAAGGAGTAGGAAGTAGCAATAACTACTTTAACAGTAATAAAAATAGTAATACTTTCAATTTGAATAGAAAGGTCTCAGATAATTTTTAGAAGTCAAGTTGAAGTTCTAGTAGCAGAGATAATAAGAAGTTCTTGGATTATTTTGTAAACAATTATACTAATGAATACTTTGCTATTTACAATAGCTTGATAAGGTTTGTTTTTAATTTTAATATTGTATTTAATAGGTGTGGTAGTTGGTTTAGAAGTAATAGCCATAGATTTAGCTTCTTGGCTAAAGTGAACAGAGAGAGCACTTCAGATAAAAGGGTTGTTTAAGAGAGTTTCCTATTTCTGTTAGCTCATAGAAGAAGGAAATTTGGAGTTTTGGTCAAGGTAGATGATATTACAATAGTAATGAGAAGATGAACAGTTTAAGGATTTTTTATAATTATTAGTATAGAAATAGTAGGTATCTTGTTCTTGAGAATAATTTTAATTTCAAGAATAATTATCACAACTTCTAGATCCATTTCTGTCTTGTGATCTACTTCTATTGTAAGATCTAGAATAGTTTCTATCTTAGCTTCTAGATCTATTATATTTGTGATTATTATAATAATTTTAGCTTCTGTCTTGTGATTATTCTTAGTCTCTTTGTTTAGCATAACACTAAGCAATAAAAGGTCTGGTGTGTCTACAATAATAGCAAGTAAAAGGTTATCTAATTCTAGGTGTAGTAGTAGGGCTTTCGGTATAGTATATAGCATTGGCAGCAGGTTTCTGTTAAGCAAGATTTATGCTAAGTTAAGCAATTTGTTCAGTTAGTTGCTTGATTGCTTGGTCTGTATTTGTAGTAAAAGAGAAGATGAGTTTGCTATTTTTCTAATTGCATGTAGCATTTATAACAATAGCCAAATTAGCAGAAGCTCCAGCTTGTATATCAATAGTATACTCAGATCTGAGTTCTTGAATAAAGAGTTGGAGGATAAAGTTATTGGAAAAATCATTAGCAGAGTCTACTCGAACTTGTAATTTCTTGAAGCAAGTTATATAAGTATTAATAGTGTCTGTTTTTTGTTTAATTTCAAATAACTGCTTTTGCTATTTTATCTTTTGTTTAGTAGTACTGAACTAGGTTTTAAAAAGATGATAAAAGTTTCAATTTCTATTATATCTATTATTAAAAGTATTAGAGTCAAAGTCAAGATCTCAAAACTATTCAGCAGCAATTTTTTTGAGATAGAAGAAGCAAGGACAAGTTGTTAAACAGCAGTCTAATTGTTAGTGATAGTAGCTTGTTTAAATTCTTCTAACTATTCTACTGGGTCTTGGCTTCCATTACTAGTAAAGAAATTAATTTTCATGAGATCTTTTTACTGCCTGGCATTAGAGTATTTGCCAATTAGATCATTGTAGTAGTAGCAGTATTCAAAGCAATATTAGCCATATTTGCAAGAGATACAAGGTAGTACTACAAGTAGTTGTTGTGAAGATACTACAGATGGTTGTTGTGGAGGTGATAGGTTGTTCGAGTTGTTCTGGTGGTAATAAATTATTATTTTGTTGTTCTAATAATAGTAAATTATTTGCTTGTTGTACAGGTAGAGGTAGATTACCTTCTTGTTGTTTGAAAGAGTATAAGTTGTTGACTAGTAGATTATGTAGTTTAAATATTTCAGTTGGAGTAAAGATATCTTAAACAGTACTATCTAATCTTTCTTCTTCTTGAACAAGTTCTTCTTGTCATATAGTTGTTTCTTATTATAGATGATGTTCTTCAATATATGCTTCTAGGATAGTAGCAAGGTCTATATTTATAAAATGTTCAGTTTATACTTCAACTAGTACTTGAGGTACTTCAAATGTTTCTTGAAATGAGCATAGAAGAGATTGTTAATTAGGGTTGTTGTTTTTATACTGATAAGAGAGTAAGCTAAGAGAAGATGGAATTCAGTAAATAATATGTTGGTTTTGGTAGCTAAAACTATAAGTGTTATTTTGTTGTTATCATATGGGTGATGCCAAGTGAAAACCAGATATTCTAAAAATAGATTTACATAGACAACGAAATGCAGGAGTGCGGGCATTAAATAATAATCGCACGTGAAAGTATAACTGAACATTCTAGTCATTTGATTTGAATATTACAGTACTGTATTACATAATTATCAGTAAAGTTAAAATTTATTTATTTTTTTTTTTTTTAGATCTGCCACGAACTACTTTCGATATCGAAGCTGATCTTTCTCTCTTTTCAACTTCTCTCGGTAATCTAGAACCTGAACCAACTTCCATAGTTTCATGTTCTGAAGATTCTGTTGCAGGTAGAGATTCTTGATCAATATTGCTTGCTTCGACCTGTTTCTGTTTAATACTTCGTTTACTTTGTGCCTTCTTTGCACGAGTTCTTTTCAAATTTTTAACTCTTTTTATCACATCGTCTTGTAGTTTTGAACAAAGGTCATCACGGAAAGCAATTGGGCAATATGGACGAATTTTTTCCCAGAAGTCAACTTGTTTTTCTTCCAAAAGACCCTTTGGTGAAATCTCTTAAGGATTCAAAGTTATAACATCGATGTTCTTCTTTAGTAATTGAAATTCATCCCAAGGGTCATTATTTCTTATTTTAGCTTTCATTATACCAGGCTTCTCACAACTAAACTAGAAAAAATGATATTTTTGTATAGCAGGAGGCCTACGGTATAATGTACTAAGTGCCGAAGTCCAATCACGGAATGGTCCTATCTGATTCTCTAAATTTACTGATGTATTGTTTTTTGAGTTTCTGTTTATTACATCTACTAATTGATCAATACACCAAACTTCTGATCTAGTATACTTTCGCTTTGTAAGACCAAATCCTCGATCAACTGAATTTCTGGTATAACCTTTAATTTGAAACCGATATTCAATTTCTTGAAACATGTGAGTATAGCATGCCCAAAGAAAATACCAAAGGAGACAAAAATTTTTATTTTGACCACCACAATTATCTGCCCATAATCGAATTTTTTTTGCCTCACCTGCAATAAAAGATTAAAGCTCTTGAAACTTTTAATTAAAAACTTATACAAATATAAAAAAAAGACAACCAGTATGCTCACCAGTATATTGCTTAATATACTGCTTTTACAGAGTTACAAAATTTTTAAATAATTCTAAACAAGATAAAAAACTACCTATAGACCCAGACATTTATAACTCTACTCTCACTCCTATACCTATATATACTATTGATACTTTTATCTCTTATAAAGAGTATATGATTTTAAAAGAAATATCATTAAATATTAGACTTTTTTCAGAAGATAAAAGCAAAAAATTCAGACAATTATTAAAAGAATTTGCAAACCTATTCATATCAAATATTAATAAACTAGAACGAACTAATCTAGTTACTTATAAAATTTATACTGAAGATATACTTTCTATAAATTCTTGACTTTACTCAATACCTTCAAGTGAACAAATATTTGTTAAAGAAGAAATCTAATGAATGCTATATAATAAACTAATATAATCATCTAATAGTCTATAAACCTCTTCTATTGTATTAGTACAGTCAGGGATATTTCCAAATTTAGAAAATCATATTTCGTGTAACAGATTGCATTCTAGATCGATTCTAGAATGATTGATAAATTTTTATTGGCTCACGGTCACACTTTTTGGCT